AATATTCAAAAATTACAGCACCACAATTATTTTGGTGAGCATGCAAATTCTGCAAATTCTGCAAATTCAATCTTAAAGAAGCAATTATAGTACATGCTAGAGAAACACATAGAATAATGTTTTTTTTGTGACTGGCAAATATTTGCATTAATCAAAATTTACAGTGGTGTTACTCCTTAAAATGAAGAGAACAACTTTATAAATTACATAATTCAGATTGTACATAAATTAAAAAAAAAGTAAAACAATGAAGAGTATAATTTAATTTATAAGAAAATATATACATTGCATTCATATAGCAATCAATATGGAATAAACAATGATAGTTTGTATTGCAATCATTTTTAGATGTAAATTGATTCATTACAAATTATTAATAATTTTTAATATTGTTAAAAATGATAAGCAATACTATTAATATAGTTAGGATATGTTAGTAGTGACAGACTTCTATTTAAAAACCATAGTTGCACAATTTTTACATGTAGATTTGAAATCATTATATGCATCCCTTTAGCTATATCGAATTGATTTTTTTTTGTTTTATATGCTTGTAAAGAGTCTGTGGCCTTATAACTTTCTCCCATTATATTCCTCAAAGTTATGCTTTTGTTTAAAAATGTATTTTTATTTTATTTACTGACTTTGTAAACAAGTCATAGACCTTATACATTATTATTATTTTTATATATTATATATTATTATTATTATATATTATATATCATTATTATGTATTATAAGGTCTATGAAATAAGTACATTAGCCAGAATGTATTATTTATAAATATACTTTAATGAAGTTTTTCGAACTTTATAATTCAATTACAAGGACCAATTTATTATTTCTATTATTATTATTACTTAGTATCTACATTAAGTAGTCAAGTCCACCAAATAGAATGTACTCCTATAATATAAATAATATTTGGCATTCATTCATTAATCATTTTATTGAAAAATAATATTATTTAAATAATATTAATGATCAAGTATCATAATAATTTTAATATTAATTGAATTAAGGGGTATTCTAGTGTAGAAATTCAAAAAATAGTTTTTTTTTTTAATATTCTTAAAGTTTAACTATTTAAGAATATGTGTACGAGAAGATTTAAAACAAAATTATTTTTGGAGATACAGCTGTTGACTATGGTAATCCTCTTTTGTTTCCTACTTTTTGCAAAACTTTAAACTAGTTTTTATTTAGATTTTTATCAGCCTCATCTCCAATTTTAATTTAAGAAATAGAATTGACTTTTTTTTCAAACAGTCATCATTTGGTCTATATATATATATAATATATATATATATACATATATATATATATATATATATATATATATATATATATATATATATATATATATATATATTGTAGAGCTTTGAACGAGAAATCCAAAAAGTAATAAAATACAAAAAGTTTTTTTTTAAAAAAAACATTTCTTTATTCATTTACTGTCGACGTTTCGGAACTGGTACTTCCATCTTCAGGACATTTGTCAAATTTATAATAAAGGAATTTTTATAGGATTTTTTATATAAAATGAATAAATTGTAATTCTTTGTTCAAAGCTCAACAAATATTACACCTCTAATACTCTACCATCAAATATATATATATATATATATATCTATATATATATATATATATAGGGTGGTCCTTAAAATGGTCATTTTCGAATTTCCCTTGCTCCCAGGGGCTCAAATGGTTCCAAATAGTAAAACAATTCTCTGAAAGTTTTAGCTCTTAATATTAACGTTAGATAGAGCGCAATTCAATCAAAATTTTGTATGGGAATAGCATGAAAAATTTTCAAAAATTTAAAAATGATTTTTAGATGTAATTTACCGAACAAATGAATGAATAAACTCATTCATTGCCGCTAAGTTATACCTAAAACATTTTTAAACTTTAAAATTTTTTACTATGCTCTTTCCATACAAACTTTGATTTATTTGCGCTCTATCTAAACGTTAATATTAAGAGCTAAAACTTTCAGACAATGTTTTTTTATCTATTTGGAACCATTTGAGCTAATTTTATAACAAAATTTAATATATACCACTTTGATTCAAAATAACTTATTTTACAATATTAAAATATAAGTAATTCGGCATTCAATCCTAGTTCATGGTTGATTTTCTCTCCTGAAATAGAAAACAAATGAATGAGTAAGTTCTTTAAGAGCGATACATCAATCAAAATAGACAGAGATTTATAAAATAATCTCTAATTCCAAATATATCGACACAATTTGATGTCATTACGAGTGAATATTAAACTTGGTTTTTTACATCTAAAAATGTGTACACAGCACAAATTTTGCACTAACATTGATACAACTAACCAGTCAATAATCATGATTTTTTTGTAAATAGGAAAAACATATAGTACACATCTCACAAAAATACCTTGTATAATTTTATTGGCACGTCGCAGCCAGCTTTTTGCAGCCTCTGAAACAGTAAACTATGTCTCATGCGGCAAATTTTTCAAAGCAATTCCTGGAATTAATTATATATTAGTTTAATTCATAATTTACAACACATCATAAGTATAAGATATATAAATTACCTGTGATGACATCGCAAGGCACTAGATCACAAAATTTTTTTGCCCTTTCCTCGTCCCTAGCAAAATTCTTTGGCCAAACCATCATCAAAATGGATTTTCATAGCTGGACTCTGATGGCTAAATACAGAATATAAAGAGAAAGTTTGTTTAGTATATGATAAAGTTAACAAATAAAAATAAATCTATATAAACTTTTGATTACCAATTGTATTTTGATATCTTTGCTCAGAAGATATCAAAGAAGTTGAAGCTCCTCCAACAAACATAGGTGGAGAGCATTTCTTCTTTGTTAATTCTCTTTCAAACACAGCATTTGATACAAAATTAGGCATGGTTGCTGGATAAGCTGGCAGGGTAGAAATGTCAGCATTAAATTAAAAATTCTATTTGTACTAGTAACATAGTATTTCAATAACAGTACACAGAAAGCTTTAATTACCATTGTTTATATCTGCCCCCCTTTCATATGTTGCTGCAATATTTATAACACACACGCACATATAATTATATAGAACACATAAAATTTCCACTATTATTACTCAATTTTTGAGTAATTTGATAAATAATATTAATTATTTATAACACACACTCATTAATTATATAAAACAAATAAAATTTTCACTATTATTACTCAATTACTCAAAAACTATGATGATTCCACATATAGCGTCTGTTTGATGACGCTAAACTTAAGGGCGCAAACCGACGCGACAAAAGAGAAAGGGACAAACATATACGTTTCGAGGTCTCAAGCCGTGCGCGTACGAGAGCGACATGTTCGTGTTTTATATGCTCGAGTCCTTTTGTTTTGAGACGTCCCTTGCATATCATAGGATATTCATAGGATATCGCGATATTAGGAGATTGTGAGGACAAGTGGGACATTCCCTGGCATGTCTTGTGCTGTCTGGGAAGTCTATGATTGTTTTTGGAAAATGTATGCCTGTAATTTGCTAACTATATATTTACTTTCTTTATAATTTATTTTGATACGATTGCAAAATTTTTATGAACGATTTAAAGAAAAAAGCGTTGTGTTTGTAAAAATTATTTATGGTATTAACTTATACTGAACATTCATTATGTGTATGTGAGTTGTTGTAAACGACATATTGTTTTATTGCAACCTAACATAACACTATGTAAATAAATGATGAAATTTAGCTTGTTATATTTATTTCCTCAAAATCTTATTGCTCCTCTTGTGTATTAGGATTGATCCTTACCAATTCGGATTAATCAACATTGTGTGATGGTTTTATACAATACACAGCTTTTATTTGTAATTCGCATTTATTGAGATAATTTTTCATCTATATACTCTCACAATTTGTCAGGTTATCATATACTATTAAGAAGTCGAAACCTACTAGTAGAACTTACACGTAGGAGGTAATTAATTGTATTTATTCGTTTTCTTGTCGATGTTAGGTGATTGATCCTTACCAACTTTGTTTGTTGGTTGACATACATAATCAATGAAATAATATTTCATCAATATTTTCTCACAATTTGTCAGGTCATCAAGCACTAGTAAAAAGTCAAAAAGCTAATATAGTGCTCATTTGTTTTCTTGTCGATTCTTACTTGAAATTAATATTGAAACATACCTTTTTATAACATGCGTCTTCTAGCAAAATTCTGCTCGAATTTAATGGTATCAATCGTCCAATTACAGTAATCTTGCATCTTACCATATGTTTAATGTGATCTATCAGATAAAATTATTCAAATATCTCATAAAAATTTTATACCTTTGATATTATTATGGAAGTGATACTACAATTTTCTACTACTATTTTGAAAAATAGCGTAGCAAGTTACCAATGCATTTATTTACACATATGCAGAACTTTTCATTTAGTCGCTAATAATTTGAATTCAGATTTTTTTAAAATTACAAGAACATAGATATAAAAATTTGCTTGCAATATGATCAAAGAATAAATCTATAAAATGTAGTTGAAGTTAATACTTTAACTCCAATTGATTTTACTATCGCCAGCTCAGAATAACATCAATACTTTATTATACGCTATACAACATCAATACTTTATTTCACAAATATGCCGTACATATATGTATGAATTACTATTTACATAATTTTTATTATTCAAATTACGATTTTTAATTAAAAAATATATATATTTATATTTATTATATATTAATATTCTGAAAAGAATAATTTTCATTAGAGGAAATTAACTTAAGATGACTATAATTACCTAGTTTCATATATCTTTTCATAATAATTCTCAATTTTTATATATATTATTTTATTATTTCTGATCAGGTCTCTTAATTATTTAAAACTATTGGAATCTACATATAAATGCTTCATCTCAAGGAATTCGAAACGTTATTTAAGTATCATGTATATAAGTAACACACTGATATCAATGGCAGTCGTTCCATCCATTTTTTCCTGACAATGTGTATGTTATCTTATAACAAACTTACTTTTTCAACAAATATAGCTTTGTTTTCAATAGCTTATTTATTGTACTTATTGCAGAGCATAGTTAAAAGCTCCTGCAACTTTCTAGGATCTTTATAAGCTATTAATCCGTTTGAATTTTTATTTTCCTTATTGTATGTGATGCATAGATCATTTGGTATTTCTGAGTCCATACTTTGTGATACTGTTGGTGCAAACTGTATAATTCCACCTCCCATAGCTCTTAATATGGCATGGGGCCCACATGTGTCCCATTTGTATGTTGATCCTCTTGACAAAATAAAACAATCACAATTATCAATAATAACATTAAGTATTTTGTATCCGGCTCCAGCAAGAGGGACAGTATAGACACCACACTGTTGAAGGTAATTAATTAATTCTTCATTTTCATTTGAACTCACTGCAAATGTTAAGTTTTGTCTAATATCATTTTTGATATTATGTTCAGAATGCTTTTTTGTCTTGTCGAAGGTTACTCCCCAATAAATCTTGCTGGTATACCTAATTATGTAGATTGCTTATGTTAAATTATAATTATACAGAAAATTTCAACACATGATGATGCAGTAGTAAAAGTGCTTTGCATTTAATAGATAGAAAAAAAAAAGAATTTTTTTCTAATAAATTAATATAATCTCGATATTTTAATATAATAACTTCAATTAATATCTCGGTAAAATTAGTAATAAAAAGGTAAAATGTTCAGCATATATGTAAATTTTTATTTACATTAATACTACTAACCTTTCATTGGATAAGGTATGGAAAGGTTGATTTATAATTCCAAGTATCGGTTCACCTGTCTTCTGACTATAGACACCGATCAGAACAGTCGCACAAATTAAACCATTTGATAATACTCCTTTTAAACTGCTCTCTTTTTGATCTCCTCTTATATATTCTAAAGTTGCATCTATAAATTATATAATTGAATTAAAAATAATATAATCATTACTTTTTATTGTATGATAAATTAAATAAGCAAAAGCAATTAAAAAAAAGAATTTAAAGCAGTGTTATCATATGTTATCTATTGATTCATTAGAAATGAATTCATAAAACTCTCAAGATATTATAATATTATTTTTATCTTAAGTGAGCTTGAAGAAATTACTGATGAATTGCCTCTAATCATAAATATTGGTAGTTAATATTAGATATATTCTGGGCTTTTATATTGATTCCTATGATAATTACTAATTCTATGATAACTAACTAATTCTACATGACCACTTTTAATGCAATAAACTTAGTTCACTCACCTATCGGATCAATCCATATAGCCATATCCTTCATATTTTCTATCTCAAATGTTGGAAAGTCATGACTAGTGCTATTTTCAATGTCTTCGTGAGTTATTTCTCTATGAACTTCTTTTGCTAATATTTCAGCACATGGTCCATCATCACATACCTAAATTTACCTTTATATTTTATACATGCTTACAATTCTCAATCATTCAGGTAGCTTATTCACCTTTTGTAAGAGAGCACAGGTTTCGGCTTCCGTTTCTTTAACACTCACAATAATACTCTCACCCATAGTGTTACTGAATTTATTATTCTCTTCTCCATGTATGAAATCGTGGAGTTCTGGAAACTGAATATTTACAATTGAACTAGGGAATAGCAAAAATTTTATGAAATTTATATTATTAATTATTAAAATTGCTTTTAACCATAGAAATTTGTACTGCAATATTTTTTTCAGTACTTATATATGTAACTTCAGTAATTACATATGTATATTTTGATGCATTAAAGACTGCAGGCCCATTGGTAAGTCATTCTCATATATATTAATATATTAGTTTTCCCCGCATGATTGAATCAGATTGAAATAGAATTCGAAAATAAAATGTATTGGATACAATAGCATTGCAAATAAAGACGATTAGCTATACACGGTGATGAATATTTTGATGCATCGAGATGAACAGATCGTTATTTTTCATTATTAAGATCATAAAAAAACGGTTTACAAAATGTATCACATTTTTTGTTAGTAACTTATTCTTTATATACAAAGATTTCTATTATATAGATTATAACACTATGGAACTAAGATTAATAAACTGACAATGTTGCATTACCTTTGTGGAAATATCATGTCGCACTGATTCTTGTATCAAAACATCGGCTAATGTTTTAAAGTCTTGAAAGAATCTTGGATTTGCATCATTCTTTTTCTCCTCGATTAATTTACTGAATAAATATTCATTTTGTCTACATATTCTTGCGATATTTGCTGCTTTTTCAGATACGAGTATTAAAGATTTAAGTAAATCAGTCATGTTGGAAGACGTGCACAATTTTATTGTAGAAAAATACATTCACTGTATAATTAGTTTACTGTTTAATCGTAAACTATAAATGGATTATCTACATTTGCCTAACTTGGGCATTGATTTTGACAGATCTTGTGCTGTCAAAGTGACAGTTCAATGTTATTGTGTGCTGGCATCTTCCTGGGAAGCCCTTGTACGAAATTGGATTAGGTTCTGCTCTGTACACTTTTAATTTTGAATTGAGCGAAGAAAAAAAAATCACTAAAATTACATGAATATAGTCAAATTATCGACTTCATGATATAAACGTGACATGTAATTTTAATTTTTGTCATTCGCTATAGTATTGTTAGCGAGACCATGGCAAGACCTTCAGAAGTGAAAACTACTATTCGCTAAATACTTAAGAAAGTAAGCCCGGTATCGGAAAACATACATTTAGAATTTTCTTATTCGAATTAGCAATGGTCTACGTGATAATTTGTATTAAGTACTTTGTAATTTTTATGTATTTGATGATATATCTAGACAGGGCCGGTCCTTCTTTGAATGCAACGCATGCGAAGAATGCGGGCGCACGCCTTAGGGGGCGCCAAAACGAGATTTGGATATAAAATTTTTAATATAGTTTTTTCAATATCCTTCAAGAAATATATACTTTCCTTGCATCTTTTACTAATCTTTGGCCAATATTTTTAAAATACGGTAAAAATTTCACTTTAAAGCAACAAATGGGAAAGTGAATATGAATACACAATTCGGCCTTTACAATATCAGTTAAATTAAAATAACTCAACAACAGTGCTATGTTTAATAATAAAAAGCTAGATTTTTTTAATCTCTTTGATTTGCTCAATAGAATAAATTGCATAAAATTTCCAAAATAAATAAATAAAATGTTTTAAAACCCAAATATTGAGATTATGCATGCGTTAGAAATAATTGAAAATTTAAGAATATTTTTGCAAGCAATAAATAACATATTGAAATTTTTGAACGTGTTGAAAAGTTTGGATTGAAAATAAAAATTCAAAAATAGTTTGGTAGTGCGACAACGATAGAAGGCACAAAAATTTGATTATGAGCTCCCGTGAATTGCCCCGATCTTCTGAATGATTATAAAAGCAATGTATTTTTGCTTTTAGATTACATATATCTAATTTTTGCGTACTAAACGCAGAATTATTAAAAAGTATTTTAAAAAATTAATGTAAAATGTTAAAATAGTTAAAATAACAGGGGGGGTGGCTCGAAAAATAATGGCCTGCGGGTGCTGAGAACCCCAGGACCGACCCTGTATCTAGATTTGTGTCGACACTGCTCCATTTCAATTATAATAAAAAAATGAAGTATGATTTTTGTCTTCATTAATATTTTTTGTCAACAAGAATATTATCAATCTGTATATCATAGTACGGCTTCTGTTTGAAAATATTTAGTATTTAACTTATAGAGTATCTTCATCAGGTGCACCATGATAAAATTGTATTGAAAGTAATATATTGCCCTTTCGGTCACGCGATTTATATTTGAATTTATTCAAAATAAAGAGAGGTAATGTAACAAACTGTTTCGTCAAACAAAAAAATGAAAGTAATGTCGAAGGTCACTACAATTAATATTATGAAAAATTAAAGTATGTATAGGTAATATAGCTAAATCTATTTCACTTAATGTTCTTAGCATTGAACTAACAATAGTGGGGTCGTATACATACTAACTTAACTTAGGTCTATATAAAGTAATTCTGAAAGTCACTTTAAATTTATTGATTATTTACTTAACCTAACATTATCACACTCAAAGTCGATTTGAATCAATTATAATACCATGAATGAAATATAAGTGTAGAAAAAATGCTCATATTATTCATACATAATTTACACGTGATATAATTTTATAAATATATTGTTATATCAGCTCTTTTGTGGAGTTTTTTCTTCTTCAGACTTATATGTATTTTTTCTTGGAAACGCCCAAAATTTCTGCGACTTTCCAAAAATTTGTGCCTCCGCCAAAGTGTCTGGTAACTTTTGGTGTAAGGTCTCAGGTAATAGTAGCTCGGCCACCAACCCCGAAAACATCATAAGTGATATAAACAAATACGGATATCGTACATCATATGTGGTACCCTAAAATTTGATAAATGTTAATTTGATGCATTCGGTATTTTCAAAATCTCTTATATTTTCAGAATTTCCGGTATCATCATTATAGTTGGTTATTTGAATTATCTTCTAACAAATGGGATAATGAAATAATTACTTATACGTAACTTCTCCTTCAATATTCTTACCAAATATGAAATATAAGGACCCAAAATACTGGATGCGTTTCCTAAAATTACACCAAGGGCTACTCCTGTCTGTCTCAGGCATGTTGGATATACTTCAACTCCTTGAACCATTAAAACGTAGAAGGAAACACTAACACAAAATTTGATGATTGCTGCAAATATACTTGTGAATATGTGCAATGATGGATCTGTGAAAGATAAGAGTGATCTGATATTAAACTTTTTGTATAAGTTCTATGGGCAATTTTAATATTTGTTTAGAAGAGTACTTAAAATTCAAAAGTAGAAATTTTAAAAACAAGTTAACAAGTCTCATTGATTGTAGCTTCTCTTCTGGATACGTTTTGATAGTTACATTATTCAACTGATGCAGTTTCATCCGTAACAATTTAGATCCATTTATAACTTTAATTTTTCAAAGAAATTATGGTACCTTTTTCGATTTCTTACCTGTTGATGTGTAGATAAGTGGTAAAGTTGTGCACAATGCTAAAAAAAATGCCATGCATGCAGTCCATCTTCTTCCAATATTGTTTGTTGCAAATTTTCCAACTGGATAAGCTGGAAGTTCTGCAAATCCTTGATACAAATAGTTCAGAAACGGATTTCCATCCATATTACTTACATTTAAGTACAGTAAGAAGTAACTTAAACCGCAAACGACCCTGGAAATATTTAAGCAATTAAATTCGTTCAGTTTTTTAAACACTAAAACATCTCTAAATATGTTCCTAACTAAATCTATATATAAAATTTTATCAACAAATTTTGAATTCGTAATATTTTAAGATATTTTGCAAAACTACTTCTTAGCTTGGATCACATATTTTAGTGCCTAAGTTTTTACCAGCATATCAATAACATTATTGTGTTCTTGGCGAGTGTCCAGCTTGTGAACAAACTCATCATTCCAAAAACATGTTCGGGTTCAGACGAATAATCTTTTAGCATTTCTAATGCATCATCGTTCAATGTTGCACCATTAACTTTTGCAATTGTGCGTAAAGTTTTTTCACATTTCTTCATTTTTCCCCGGCTTGCTAGCCATCTTGGTGATTCGATCATATATCTAGAAAAATAAATATTTAATTTTTAATTTTGCAGAAAGTTATATCAATTTCTTAATTACTTACTTGTTATTAATTAAAAATATTGCAAATGGCAATGAAGAAACTAGAACGAAATCAAACCAATTTCTCAACCACCACATCAGAAGAGGCATTGTGCAAATTCCAAATGTCCACCCAATTCCTTGCAACATAGCGACGTGTGAGTTTTCATCACTACAGAAAAATTATATTAAAAGATACTTATTTTTAATTATCGAGGTTGATAAATATAAACTTTATTTTAAGATATATTATTTTGATAATTTCTAATCTCACCAAGTTCTTTAAATTGTATACAAATTTTTGCAGCACGTGAAATCACTTTTATCACTTCGGCTGAATATAGAAAATAAATTTCAATTTTTCAAATTACCTGGTCGATATTTCCATTCCTATGACAAGAACAGTCTGGTATAAAGACATCTGTGGCAGTGCAGTCACCACATATCCAAATACATACCAATAATATGAACTAGTGAGAAATAAGTTAAATATTTTCCCAACGATAATCAACACCATGCTGAGAAAAAATACTGGTTTCCTGCCTATTCTGTTGGCAAAATGTTTTCTTACAAACCATGAAAATATTGAATGAATTATAATAAATAATATCTCACACATCTCCTAATTGTCCAAAGACTAAGGCTCCAAACATTTCACCTATTCGGCCGATTATCAAGGAATTTGTTACTCTCATTTCCTTGTCGCATACCCAATTTTCTTGCATCGGTATTGTCAATTCAAACCAGGTTCTGTCAAACTCATATCCATGCTGGCATTCTGAAATATTGTTTTTTATAAAAACCTTTAATATCTGATGAACTGTAAGATGTACCTAATTACATTTATATAATTGACCCTTACTTATGGTGGAGTAGTTCTGGTTTGGATGAACGTTTGTCCAGTCTGTAATATTGTACATTTCACAAGAACTGTAGGAAGCTTGACCTTTATTATTAATATTTCTGGAAAAAATGCAAAATAATCAACTTTTTGTAAATAAGTATAAAAATGAAGGTATTAGGGCTTTTTGTAATATTTTAAATAAGGTAAGTAGCAATGAATTTGATCAGTTACCTATGCACATATACATATATGCACACCTACTTATGATAAGTTTTTAAAAACAAATAATAACTTAATCGCGACTTCAAAAGAATGAGTATTATCTGTTTTGATTACTCATAAAAAGACAAACAGAATATAATGATATTCATAATTATTTGATTTTCACATTTCATCAGTCTTTACAAGCATACTGAAGAAACAAAAATAGTAATATTTTCCTTTGTACCCGTTTGAGTTCATTACTTTCTGATGTTTCATAATGAGTGAATGAAATCACTCTGACAATAATATAACTATTTACTTGCATCTTAACACCTATTTCATTTGGAGTAATTATTATATAAGTAATGCAATTGACAATGCGATTATTTCTACTTTTGTTACGATTAAAAACATTTATTTATCTATTTTATAATATTTGGAAAAGCCACATAAAAACAAAAAAGCAGCAAGTAATGATCAAAATGAAACAATTTGATTAGCTACTGCGTAAAAATCTAAGCTCTCTGTTGAAAATAAGTTGCTGCTATATAAATCAATCATTAAACCAATCTGGACCTACGGAATTGAGCTCTGGGGATGTGCTTACAAATCAAATATAGCTATAATGCAGAGAACTCAGTCAAAAATTTTACGTACAATACTTAATTCTCAGTGGTACGTTACAAATGAAACCATTCACATCGTTCTCAACATGAAAACGGTGCAATTAACGTTCAAGAATTTAAGGAAAAAAACAAAAGTAAACTGGAATCACATTCAGACCCATCAATAGGCGACATTACCCAACCATTGGCTTAAGATAGGAACATCAATGGCCTTTAGATTTAGTCATAGATTAGCTTCAACATTATCTTTTTAATTGTTAAACTAAGATCTCATTGGAGTTCTTCTTAGACATCGCTCTCAAATATTGTCAATTTAGCTTATAGGAATCCTTATGTATTTCTGATTGCTGAATAAAACAGAGTTTAAAAAAATCTATTTTATAATATAATGATTGCTTACTTTGGAAGTGTTATTTCTTTCCATTCTTCTTCTGTGTAGTTGTAATTTGTTCTTCCTGGTACGTGACACCAATGTTCGGGTATGGTCATGGCCAAAATCATGTTCATGCAGGGCATAACTGCCAATAAAGCAAATGCGACATTGTACATGTAATTAAAGCGTCTTTGAAATGGACCATCATTTCCTACCGACTCCAGAACCGTATCAAACGCTGCATCTTTTTTGCCCATTTTAATTAGTTAACCTAGAGTAAATAAGCTTATATTTTATTTTGGTACTACCAACTTTATAAGTAAGTGTAAAGTATTAATTTTATCTAAAAATTTAGATAAAATACTTTGTATTTGTGAAAGTCTATGTTTTGGTGTATTTTTTAATTAGTGAGGTTATGTGTGGCTAATTCCTGTTTTTCGTACTATTTCTCAGGACGATTTCTTTTTTGTAATATACCTCTGGTAACATTTATGTGATTTGATTATCATTATAATAATTATGTGATACAAATTCTTAATATGTTTATAAACTACTTATTGAAATATTTTCTTGATTATGTATGTATAATTTTTTGTCCTATTAGCCAAAGAGTTTAAACTAATTCCTCAATTTTTTCCTATATGCCTTGCTACTCCTTAGGCATAATATTGAATAATACAATAGTCATAAATATAATTGTGATAAATTTTGTTAGTCCTCAAATCTTCACACAATTCAAATTGCTTTTATGCACCGCAAAACAATAAAATATAATTGCATCTTATGCAGCATGTTTGAAATATATTTTCAAGATTTAATACATTAAAAAATAATACGTAGCTTAACTAAATATTTTTCTATAAAACCTAAAAATTTCATATACAATACAATACAAATATTACTGACTTCAAATATTTAATCGAAACACTATACAATGATAAAGTTACGAGAGAACAGAATAAAATATTAATATAAGCTATATATTATATAAAATATAATGATTTTGATTCTTTTTCATCAGAACACGATTTGCACATAACTTTGATTATTAATTTTATTTTTTTTGATTTAGCGCTAAACCGTTTTTAAGATAAGTTTCATTTTGGATACAACACTAAATATAAAGCTATTTTTAACATATAATATAACTATTTTTTCATACTTATTCAAATTATGCACATTAATATTGTAATTTGCTTTTTCGTATTAAGCCTATTCTACTCTAATTCACCAATTTGTTGTAAGCGCCCATAAAATTGAAGATAATTTTGTTCATTAAAAATAATTATAAATCACTACCTGTATAATTACCTAAAGTCACATACAATATAACTCTTAATATTTCAAGTATTTTTTTCACATAATGTTTTACTATAGTATTAGAAAATATGCCCACTGACTCCTACATATTCAGTTGTAACGGTTATTTTTCGAACATGTTGCTAGCAAGTTTTTCGCAGTGCGCACATGGAGAACAATGACTGAACTAATTCAGACTTTCAATCTCTTAATACAATGAGTGCTCTCAAACAGTCGGTTGATAAGAAAAGATAGCAATAAATAGCAGAAATCTTAATTTATATTTTTTAATTATTGTTTGTTTCCATCATAGAAATGATTATTATCATATTTGATTTGTAGAATTTACTCTAAATCTCTTGGTTGTTTGGTTTGCGCTATTAGTTTACACTGAGCTTAAAATTTTAACGTATTACGCAGCAAATTTCTTTATATATAGGTATATATTAAATATAGGTATATATCTTTATATATATATATATATATATATATATATATATAGAATTTTGTGTTTTGAATATACAGAATTGTTCATATTTAGCATTAATGATATTATGTTTTTTAATTAATCAATCAATTTCAACATTTTTATTTGTTTTTGCTTGAAAATATTAGTTACATATAAAAATAACCCGAAGTTATTGTGTTTTTCTATACATACATTTTTTGTATGCATCTAGATGAGTCAAATCAGAATTCGAATCAAATATTATATTAATTATCGTTAAATCTAAATTGTCTAACTTTATTTTATTAACCAATTTTTTGTATACATGTATTAATGTTACAAAATAATACTATATACTATTTTATGTATACTAGACTTGGAAATTTCTTCTGGCTTTGGGCTTTTTTTTGACCTTGCTTTTTCTTTTACATTTTTAAGGTATTTATTTTAAGCTAGACCGCATTTTTACCACTAAGCCATGACCAGCTCTAATGTTTTAAATAATAGTCACCATTTCAATTTTGTGAGAATTATTGATTTATTTAATGTTACCTCAAGAACAAATGTATAAGTTGCAAGATATCAGAAGATATCACAAAAACTAATATGCTGATAGCTATTAGTTTAATATAATAATCAGTAAGTTAGGTATATATCAAATATTTTGTTGAAAACTTCTACTTAAACATTGAGTATATTAGCTAATATAATTAGAAACTAATTGTCGAGTAATAGCTTTGAACTGTTTTCCACCCACCTAAATAAATATAATATGTATATCACTATACATATTATAATATTTGAACTTAGCGATTTATTATCTTAAATCTATCAGATTTTATAGAGCAAACTCTTATTGAAGATTATAAAATTGTTATATATTATACAATGTTTCAAAAACAACAATATAAAAGCAATTAGTTTTTATAAGCCTGCCAGGCGTTCAGGCAAATATATGCAGAAGGCATTGGGGCCGAGGCTGTCTTGCCATGGTTTTAATATACAGGCCAATCACAAATGTGAAATTTTCATGATAAATATTTAAACACAAAATCCAAGAATACATTCAAGAAAAATTAATAATTGCAATGTTTTATATATTAGAATTTCTATAACACTGGTAATTTCTTAATATCTGTCCGAGCAGGTTATAGAATCTGAAACTTAGGGTTTCAAACCTTAAGCTTTTATTAATCAGAACTTTACGTTCTATGAGCTGTTAGGCTGAAACTTCTCCTTTCTTCGTATTTTTTAGATGATAACCCAATGGTTAATCCATCCATATTTGATTTTTTGTTAGTAGATTTAATCTAATAGGGCTGACTTTTTATTGGGGCAACAATGTCGGGCAAGGGCTATTTTCACTTGGAAACATATTGCTATCTATATTTCCAAGTGAAAATCGTTGTCACTGACAACAGGCTGCTCGAAGTGGGAATCGAACCCGGGACCTCTGATTCAGGTCCCGTCGCTCTTAACCGCTTACCTACGGGCGAGCCCCACCCAACTATGAAGTCCAATTTGGTTTAGAAATGCAAAATGTTTCGATGAATAATCTAGCATTCAGGTATTTTCAAATTAAAATTTAGTTTTTCCGGGTATAGTATATTTCGCACAAACTATTTGCTTACTTTTTTTCTTTTTACATTATATTGTTTACTTTTGTTACCACCCATGCTTTGTAAAATATAAAATGTTTTTAGTTTATGTTCACTAGATAATATTTATGTACATTTAATTTATATCGCTGATAATTATTCCACTCTGGGTTATTTAATTGTTTAATGGTCATTTTGATTATTTATTTCAATTATCTCAATATTAAACGATTATTGTTTAATTATTTTCATATCAGTAATGTTTACTGGCCTTGTGTATCTTTGAACCATAAATCTACTGTTAGAGTATAATTTATTCATACAGATAAAAATTGTCTCGTCATCTTACAATTAGATTAAGATGACGACGTGACGCTACTAGACTGTTTATATTAAATTGGTGCAAGGAACTAACATCGATATTCGGTAAATACGTATAAGTTTTGAAGATTTAATTGAAGTTATTTCAGATATAATAATTGCTTACAGTTTGAATATAGAGTCTTCTTTATCTTAAGTTCACTCTTGAGGTAAATTACCATTCCACTTTATTTGGGGTTTCAAAAAATTCCCATCCGACTTGGATGTTTGGTATTTATTTATAAATGATGGAACTTATGGGCTATTATGTACTGTAAAGGATTCTATCCTATAAATAGATTTTTTATATACATATTTCTTATCTTACAATATATTTTGTTGAAGTTTTTCGTTTTGAATATCATTTCATAATACAGTCGTGATGATAAACTTATTACTGGGAAAAATATATTTTTAAACTGCAACTTTACTCCATTAAGCCATATGCAAATAATCATTAGCAAGCTATTTATTATAAATTATTAATAATTATTAATTATAAATCAGATGTACATTCATTTCTTATATTGTTTTTTTGTGGCAAGCTCCAAAACTTTTGATTTTTGCCGAATTCTTTAGCTTCAACAAGAGTTTCTGGCAATTTTGCATTTAAAGTTTCGGGTAAGAACATTGAAGAAATAGCCGCTAATAATAATACCACAGCTAAAATTGCATATGGATATCGCTTATCAATTGAAGTGCCCTGTAAAAATACCAAAATTATCAAAATATTCCTCAATTATAATTAATTTATTTTGTTTTATACCAAGTAAACTATGTATGGCCCTAGTACACCCACAGCGTTGGATACAATAGTTCCAATAGATATACCAGTTTGTCTTATACAAGTCGGGTATATTTCCATCGATTGTAAACAAACTACGTAGAAATTTATACTGATGCAGAATCTTATCACTACTGGAAATATTGTCTCAAGTACTTGCAACTTTTCATCTGTTAATGATATTTGAGATACACAAACCACTTTAAAATCAATTAAGGTATTTCATTTTCTTTATATATAATATATATAATATTAGTTATTCCCAATATACATTTCTTACCATTTACTATGAAAATTAGTGCAGTTGCGGCTATCATTCCGAGAGCAAAAGAAGATGAGGCAGTCAATCGCCTTCCTAATTTATCACACGACAGTCGTGCTAATAAATACGCTGGCAATTCCACAGCAGACTGATATAAAAAATTCAAAAATGGATTACCATCGGTATTGGTAATATTTAACATCAACGCAAAGTAGCATAAACCGCAGACAATCCTGGGAAACAAAAAGTTATCAAGTACTTCAACTTCATACTATGTATATAAACAAGATTACTTCGGGAGAGTTAGTAGCTCCTATTAATCTATTGATCATTTTCTAGTAATTCAAAGATGTTATGCATTTACAATTACCATATTTGATGTTATCAATGTTATTTATACAATGAATGATAAATTAAGTACATAAAATTTTAATTTTGTATAAAGTGACGTCAAATCGTCTTATATTGAACTAATTTTTCACAATAAATTTTGTATAACTTACAAAATATATATTATAGAGATCTATATATCGGCTATTCTTATTAGATACTTTAATGTTATCTGTCTTGTTATATATTTTTATAACTGCAGTAGTAGGTAAGTCGTGCTACTACACTTTGATATTTTGTAATACAAAATCTTAAATAATTTTGAAAGAGTCTTGATTGTAATCATATTCGTATATCAGTATAATTGCTCATATCCTATGAATTTAAATTATTTATCAAATATATTGCAAAAATTAGTCGTGCATGGCATACTGCAAATTACTGAAACTTTTTGTACCATAATTCAACATTCAAAGAATAAAAATTATTACATACACACAATGGATAATTACATACATCGATTTTTTCTGAGGTATGCAAAAACGTTCAAAAGCTCTTGAAACGCAATTATCTATAAAAATTTTCATTTTCGATTTTCACTACCATACGGGAAGTTAACAAAACTGATTCTTATGAATTCTGTTTACTAATATCATAGTTTTTTTTTTTTTCAATTTCTTTTAAGTAAGAAAAGTAGAGTCAGTTTTTAATATTATAACCAGGTAAAATCTATCGTGATCATGTAAGAGATCTAATAAAATGATAGTGCAACAGCTGTTCTCGAATAACTTCCAGAAAGTAAAATAACATTCGACAAATGAGTCCTATTTTGTGATTGGGAAACCAGATTTAGTAATAATTGTGTATTGTCTTTTAAACCGAATTTAAAGGGAGAATTAATGAGTGCATTTAGTTATGAACCCGCTGACTTTCTTCTAGAATTATTCTGATATTTGTATTTATATTTATATACCTACCAGCATATCACTATTAAAATAGTGCTTAATGCAAGCCTAAAACTGGAAAATAAGCTTAGAATCCCATAAACTTTCTCTGGTGTAAATGACATTCCTTTCATTTCTTGCAGCGCATCTTTATCCAAAGCCATTCCATTTATATCAGCAATCCTTCTCAGCATTTTTTCACATTTTTCAAATTTGCATCGGCTCAGAAGCCATCTTGGCGATTCGATCATATATCTAGTAAAATTTAGATATATTTCAGATTAGTATTAACTCTATAAGGAATAATATACTCTATTAGAAGAATACTTGTTTGGGATTAGGAAAACAATAGCTGGTAACGTAGTTATTAACCCGAAGATAAACCAATCTCTTGTAGCCCACATCAAAAGAGGTAATATTATCAATCCACTGGTCCAACCGATGCATTGAGACATTTGAATATGTGATCTATCATCACTAAAAAAATCATAACATTCTTAGTTTCATGAGTAAGACAGATGAGACTAATTTGTGAATTAAAATGATCTCATTATATTTTATGAATATGAATTAAATTCTTAGACGACTTTTCTAGCTTTCCTTTACCTTTTCGTGGTTTCCATTCCTATTATAAGAGTACTTTGCATAATGGACGGCGTAGCAAATGCTCCAAAGCCGACGGCGCTAACGAAAACTGGATACCAGTTTGTGGTAAAAATTGTTAACAATCGTCCACTTATCGCAACTAATAAACTCATATAGAACACGATTCTCCGGCCAATTCTAAAAAAATATTTTTCTATATTACCATTGCAATACCAAGTATCTATCTTGGTAAATACTCTCTAGCGCAACATTTTTCTATAAACTCTATCGAATTATTTCATTTCATGCTTAGTTAACAATATAAATTTGATATACCTGTCCCCCAACTGACCAAAAATAAATGTACCAATAACTTCTCCGACTCTGATCATTGCAAATACATTTGTACAGTATAGCAGTTTATCACAAACCCAATCATGATCTGATGGTATTGTTGACAGATACCAGGTCTTGTCATACTCGTAACCATATTGACAAGCTAAAATAAATAAAAATGAAGCAAAATGATGTAGTTTCTTTATTAGTCTAAGCTATAAACTCAGGGTGATAGCTTATTGAATTTTCTTAGACAGCAGTTGAACTCTTAGTTTAGTTTATTGAGAAATAACAATGATTGAAAAATCAGAAATTCATCTAAAATTATGAAAAAATACTCACGTATAATATTGCGAATCTGTGGTTCGACTATTTCTCGATTAGTGTCATTATACATTTGGCATGAGCTTGATTTTTTGTCGTAGCTAAAATAGAATAAATATGTATGAAAATCACAAAACGTAATTATCAATTTTAATTCCATAACATAGAGTTTTGATGATCCCTTATTGAGAGATACTTGCATTTATTTGCGAATTAAAAAGGAACTAACAAGCACTTATAATTATAGCTTATGTTATATATTCTTTGAAAATTATACATAGAAATTTTAAATATTTTCAATTACAGTATAGAATTTCCTATCTTTTGAATTCTAAGTCCTAAATCTTTCGATCAATACGTTGAATATAAAATGAATGAAATATTATATTTCATTGCTGCTATTTATGAAGAGTAGGATAATAAGATTTTTTTTTAATTTATCACAATCACTCATATTTAATTATTGAAATGATTGAAGATATATTTTTCTGTTAAAACTTGAGTTTTTATTATAAAAATGTCTCTGGCTTGTTCAATAATTAATTGGAACAAGTTTGTTATGCTTTAAAATCAAACAAATCTTCGCGTAATAACTTTTTAGTAGTAGTAATATTATAAATAAACATTTTCATGGCACATGATTATTACTGTGTTATTAAAATACTTTGGTATAGTCAGAAATCTCCACTCATCAATTGTGTAATTAGTGAATTCTCGTCCTGGTACATGACACCAATGATCTGGAATCGCCATCATCAGAACTATATTCAAATAAATTATACTTGTTATACCAACAAGTATGCAATTGTAAAAGTAATTATATCTTTTCTGAAATACTCCATCGTTTCCTGCCGATTTCAAAACTCGATCAAATATTGTATCTTTATCCGATTCCATTTTATAAATAGTTTTCCAAATAGCACATGGGAAATTTAGAAAAAGTGACTTATGTTTCAACTACTACTACTTCATTCACATTCTTTAAATATCACTTGTAACAAACCATTACTCAATAAAATTATTTTTGTCACTTTCTGTTGGAATTGTATTGTGTTGATAATAAATTTAAAATATTAGGAATGACATGAAGTAACAATAATCTCCGAATGTTTATGAATTATGGCCTCGAAAAAGTATTAACAACATTTTTGCCTCTATAATTTAATTACATTAATATTAATCTTTATTCAAACAAGTAAAACAACGTGACTTAGCGTTTTTTTTTATTTGATTGTAATTCTTTAGCATTTTGTTCTGAAACATAGAGTTTGTATTTACAAAAATCATATCAGTAAATCGGAAATAAGTTTAATTTTAAACTTTATTTCATAAATGTTGAGAATGAAAATAAATAGTCATAACTTTCATAAGGTGAATTTTTGTTTTTGCTTTCTATGGTTATCTCACTGCGTTTTTATAGACTCGCTATCAATAAATAACACTTCTTTGTTTTGGATTTTCTTATTTGTAAAGTTCGTAAAATGTGATATTATTGTATATTAAGGCAATTTGCTTGGACTTTGCTCATTTAATGTATTTTATTGCAAAACTTATTGCTTTTTTTATTGCACAAAGACTTGCAACATTAAGGGAACTTTCATATTTACCAAGTCGATTTTCAAATAGAATTTTACCACCCTCATGTTGTTTTCTGCGATTTATATTTGGAAGCAATCAGTAATGTTCTGGATGAGAATGGGGGGTACTATAGCACTCTTTTATTTTTGACGGGTTTTGTCTTTACATATTTATTTTTATTTGTTTTTTTCATTATTTATATTTTTATTAGACCAATTTTATATGCAATACTGATTATTACATTAAAATTAAAAATAGGGTACTTATTCTAAAGTATTGATTGCAAATTCATACCATTTTTATTTGAAATAAATATAAAATATAATTTATTAATAAATTATTCCATAATTTTTAAATTCAAACGCAAATTGCTATGAAATCAGGCCTAATTATTATTAATTTACAATTTTGATTTATCTAATATGTTTTCACAAAACAACAGTTTTATCAATTGGACTTAGGATATAGTGGGTATATGGAATGTTTTGCTATAGAATGGTTATATTTTTGTAGTTGTATACACGCAGTTTTGTTTTATTAACTGAGGAGTAACAGCTTCAAAATTATTTTGAATTTTGAGTAATAGATTCCTAAATAATAAAATTCAGTTAGAGATCGAGAATCTGATTCTTGTGGTACTATATTACATTTTTTCTGCATATCACAGTGACAACACGTTATGCTTTTTTTCTTGAAGATCTAAATCAATGTTTAATTGTTATTTGGTATTTTTTATTATTTAATTTATTAATAATAGCTTTACAAATGTAGCAGTTAGCATTGAAAATCTTCATACTGGTATAAGATCTTAAATAGAAAAGAAAACACTGTCAATTTTTTAAATAGTTAAATACATGACTTGGAATTTTGATATCGGCAAATGGTGCTTGACAATTATATACTCTTAGCCTGTAATCTAGCGGCCAATTTTTTAATTTTACTTAATAAACGACTTTATGCAAATAATTACGGGTTTAGAAATGTCTACGATTAGCTTTCTGAAATATCACATTACTAATATTTCCAAAGTCTAAAATTTCGCTCTTAATTGAGAATTATTTTATCTGCAACATTTTCAAAATGAATATTTTTAAAGTGTTTCATGATTTATTTTTCCAGTTTAGTCTAGATTTTTTTTAGATTTCACTGAATGTTGCTTATGTTGTTATTAGCGGAAATACAGAAATGTTTTTTTGTAATTCATTATCAGACAATAATATTGCTGCAATAACAAGAATTTATATAATAGTCTCTACCGATATCTCGTTTTTGAGAAGTCAATGCCACTTTCATTAAACAATGACATTCTCATCTTGAAGAAACAATAAAAATAATAAATATTTTGATATACAATGACACAATAATATCACATTTAATACTACACATTTCATTGGCATATTCTTTTAGGCACCATTCTAATAATTAATTGTCCAAATTGGTAATATTGGTTACAATCACAACTTAATTTTTTTTATTTCTTTCCTTTTGCAAAGATTGCTGCACTGCTCAGCTGGTTTTTAGGATGTGCCAAAACTTTTGATCTCGTCCAAAACTTTGAGCTTCCGCTAATGTTTCAGGAAGTTTGATGATGTAGGGTTTCTGGGAGCATCAACTCAGCACCAAAACCAAGCAACATTAGCAACACCAGAATTAGATAAGGATATCGTATATCATAGGCAGTTCCCTAAAAATGACACCAAATTATAATCCAATTTAATAAAATCCTACTGTGTGCAAATTGTGATCTTCACCAAATTCAGGATTTTTTTAAATATGAATCTTATTTCATAAAAAATATAGTGTCTAGCAAAACTTGAAAATAGAAGTTTGTTCATGATCTCATATAAATTTTATTTATCTTGAATTATAAAAATTTTACTTACTAAGTAGACAACATAGGGTCCCAGGATACCAAAGGCATTGCCCAAAATCACTCCTAAGGCAATACCCGTTTGTCTCAAACACGTTGGAAATATTTCAACGCCTTGAATCATCATAACGAAGAAGACACACTTATACAAAATCTTATTATTACTGTCAGAGTTGAGGTATACACATGTAGAGAAGGATCTGTGAATTTAAACACAAATATTTGTAAATATTGCATTTTGTGTGATTGCCGACAGATGCAGATAAAATTTATTATTATATGAAAATAAGATGCTTTGATTGATATTGATCCTTAAATATAGCGCCTAGGCTCCAAGATATGGAATATAAGTAAGTGACCATATTTTTTCAAGTCAAAACCGGGACTGTAATGTTAGTTATGAGGGGGGGGGGAGGGCGTGAATACTAAAAAATTAATATGATTTCAAAAAAACAAAACAATTTAAGAATTTAATAAAAATCTACCAGCTTTGAAACTTATAACATTTTGTTCAATTTTCTTCATAATTATTTAAAAATAATTAGCATTTAGGTATTCCAGTCAAGAAGTTTATTTTCCTAATTCAGTGATTGGATGTTGAGGTATTTTTCGATATGAATGATGACATTCACGATTGCAATGACAATGCAAAGAACATAGATTAAAATTTTCAGATTTTTCGACTTACCAACCGAAGTAAATAGCAATGGTAGAGATGAAATTGTTGCACAACCAAAAGCTGCTACTGCAGTCCACTTCCTTCCTAAAGTGTTGGTCGTCCATTTACCAAGAAATAACGCTGGCAGTTCTACAATGCCTTGATACAGAAAATTTAAGAATGGATTGCCGTCCATATTAGTCACATTTAATATCAGCATGAAATGAGCCAAACCACCAATAACCCTGAAATCAAGATTCACTCATTGTAATCAAATCATATACCAAAATAATTAAATCAATTATTTTAATTATATAAATTGAATTGATTATTACCATAAAGACACCATCATTAGTGTGTTTTTTGCCAATCTGAAGCTTGAGAATAAACTGGCCATGCCATATAATTTTTCTTGTACGAATTTGTCTTGTTTCAATATTTCTAAAGCATCATCATTTAATGTAGTTTTATTAACTTTTGCAATATTCCGTAACATTTTCTCACAGTCTTCTAATCTTCCCCGACTTGATAACCAACGAGGCGACTCAATCATGTATCTTGAAATAATAATCATCATGATGAAGAAATATGCAGAATTCAGTTTTTATCAAATGAAAATTTTTTGTATCATTTATACATACTTATTTTTTATAACAAATAATGTTATGGGTAATGAAGATATCAAAACAAAATGAAACCAATTTTGTAACCACCAATAGAGCAATGGCAAGATACTTATTCCTAGAGTCCAACCTATTCCTTGCAGCATAGCAATGTGTGGATTATCGTCACTAAATAAAAAAAATGTTTTTAACGAATAGAAATTTTATTACGTTCGAATCTATAAGAAAATTTCTTACATAGATGAAATTTCCATTCCTATAATTAATACAGTTTGATACATGGCCATAGGAGTAAGAGCAGCAATCAAGTTTCCAAGCATATATAGGTAATACCAGCTCGTTAGAAATAGTTGCATCGTTTTGCCGACGATAAGAATTATCAAACTGATGAAGAATACGGGCTTTCGGCCTATGCTGCATACAAAAATTATGTTAATAAAAGTACATCTAATTCTGAATAATTTTTCAGATTAAATTTCGTTTATTGCGTTCAACAAAGAATGCTTTTAGTTTATCCTTTACACTTTTTACTATCTTGATTTGATTTAGCTCTACAAGGAGTAAAGGACAATATTATAACTTAATATTTAAATTGAAACAAAGTACTAAATCTATTCTCAATTCAGAACATAAATATTGTGAAAATATTTGTCGTTGCCAATATTTTTGTATTGTAACGTCTGAATTGAGCTCATCATTTTCTGTTAGTAGTTATCATTGAATCAATAATTATTTTTTATTTTAGTGTTTATCCAAGTTTGCTATTGAACGTTTACGTAATCCAAAGAGTACTTCACTTTGTGTTTAATATGATTTGATATAGAACTGAAGTGTTTCAGACGTAAGATAAATTCAGTTAACCCAATTAAAATTGAATTTTTATTATTTACACTAATTTTAAAACATAATTATAATTATTTTAATTAATTTTAATTATGTCAATAAAAAATTTGTAAGGCACTATTTTATTTACATTAATTAATAAATTAGTAAAATATTTTCTGGTTTATTGTTTATGCAATGATAGATACTATCTTAACCGAAAACTCTAGTCAAAGGGCAGTGCAACTTTTTTCATATCAAATTTGAATCTGTAATGAAAATTCTAAAATGAGAGCTTTAATTTGCTTTTTGCTATTCATGCCTTATTATAAAATAATTGGTGCACTCACTAATCGCCCATTTGTCCAAAAATCAATGCGCCCAACATATCGCCAATTCTAGCAACCACAAACATGTTGGTGACTCGAAGAGCTTTGTCGCAAACCCAATCTTCTTGAGAAGGTATCGTGAGCTCATACCACCTGGTATCATATTCATAGCCGTAAATGCACTCTTGAAATAAATTATGTAAAATTATTAATATAACACTGTAATAATTAATAAACTAAAATTTAAAGCTTCTCCAGTTTTTTTGTTTGTACCAAATTCTAGTTAAATTAAATCGTTAATTCATAAATATTAAATTAATTATGAGTAAACTTCTCGAATACTGCAGTATTTTGTAAATAAACTATTTATGCCAAAAAAATTATAAATACAATTTTGACTTAAATTTTTATTAGTTTTTAAGATGCATATTAGTACCCGGATCTGTACTCAAAACTCGAGTTCCTTAAATTGGACTATTGTGCTTTTCATATATGTTAATCTAGATTCAAGGTCGTGTATATTTAATTTTGTAAATTTAGAGCACAAGACTAATCTAAGCTCTGCCATAATTGTCAGTTGGAATTATGAAGCTTTGTCACGGCAATAAACTTCCGCCATCCCAAGCAAATATGACAAAAAAGTTATATAATTACAAAAAAATATGAAATAACATCAAATATTATAAATTCTTACTTGTTATTGAATAATTATAATCCAGATGGAGGTCACTAGCATCTGTGATATTGTACATTTTACAGGAACTTGGAGCTTCTATACCTTTATTATTGATTTCTCTGCAATATCGGATTGGATGATTCAATAAAATAATACAATATTAATAATTTGCATTCAGTTGAACTAAAACATTTTATTCTGTATTGGGCGCACTTTTGGGTCATAAATATGGTATATATGAGCACTATTCAATCCTTTTGGGATAACTTTAATAAAAATAAGTAAACAATTTAGAAACTTACTTTGGTAAAGTGAGATTCTTCCATTCGTCTATAGTATAATTTGTAAATTCTCTTCCGGGAACATGACACCAGTGATCTGGTACAGATAAGGCCAAAATAATATTCATACAAGGCATGGCTGCTACAATTGCAAATATTAGATTGTACAAATAATTGAATCTTTTCTGAAATGGTCCATTATTTCCAACGGACTGCATTACAGTGTCAAACATTGCATCTCGTTTTCCCATTTTCAATAAATTTTCTAAAATAAACATACATGGAAAAGAATTATTTAAAATCCTGCAGAACATTGATTTTACTTGATGACAAGATTCTGGTCATTTATTTCATTCTAAAATTTCCAGGATAATGACTAAACATTCTATTGACTCAAACATGCAATTGTTGGAGATCAGGTCTCTTTTGGAGTCAAAAATGAGTGCATCACATATACATATTAGAACATGGCATTTTTACGAAAAATAAACTATACCTAAGATAGTAAGGACAATTAATGGATTGCCTTCTGATAACGATATTCTTAATAAGCAATGCTTAATGCATTCGGTTTGCTCTAAATAACAAACAAACAAAAAATACATTGAATCCAAATTGTTCAAATTTCATACTTTACCAAATATGAAGATATTTTGAACCTTTACCAGATATGAAGCAAAATTGCATATCTATTATAAATAAATATTTCAGTTCTGAAACTTCGGCAATATTACAATTCCAAAGCTTTCAGAACTGTCTGTTGTAATCTTAATAAAAATTTAACCATGATATCTTCAAATTATGAAGGACGTCGTTTTTACTATCATATAATTATTCAGATAAATCAACTGCATCGACATGTAATTCATGAACCATGATTCGAATACAATTGTGAGATAACGAAGTGATAATGGGAAATTATGAACTATCTGTTCTATCTGTTCAGGTAGTGTAAGTCATCAAAACATTGAACGTGATTTATATAATCTTATACACTGAATGATGAGAAAAATTTTGTAGCGATCACTTAGCATTTCTTCTGATTTGCTGAGAGTTTTCCTAAATTGTTACCATAAAGTTTACCATTATATCCTAGCGGTGTCGATCAAAAAAATATATATATATATATATATATATATATATATATATAAATTCATATTATTTTCTATGGAAATACATTTTCTTGTTGCTGACTGCCTGATATCAATTTTCATAAATATAGATCGAAAATATGCTAAATATTAGTGAAAATATTAATTAAAAACATAAATATCGAACGACTATTGGACAAAACTAACCATCATTTTTTGCAAATTCAAACATATTGACATTACCTTAGTTGATATATTGCTGAAGTTGAAGATTATAGACCTACTACTTTTTAACTTGATTATTTTCTCAAACCCTATCGTATTTTTATTTCTGCTGTTACTAATTTCAATACACTATATAAAAATAATGCAACTCCTTGTATTTCAGTTATACCGGTTGAATTATTTCACAAAAATAAATTGTGTGAACTATTGTAACTTGTAAAGCTTTTATTCACTCGAAATATTTTTGAAGTTATTTTTTTTAATTATTGTAATTATTAAATTAAACAGTAGTAAATTATTGTATAAGAATAATTTGTATGCCTAAATTTAAACTACAATTAATTCTTATAATACACTTCACACAACTAAAATTGTTAGTAGAGATTGGTCTCACTAATCCACAACTCACAGAACATTACTCGCACAAATGGCACAACTGGAACAAGAATCTTGTCTTATTATTTGATGACACTCGGTATTAAATTATGTTCGGTCACGATAATTATATAAATTTCTTGAATAAAAATAGCATTTCTTTACATTTGATAACGAATATTCTGCAAATAAAAACAATCTGTGTGATTTAGTATTGTTTTATATTGCCGTGTAATAAACATGAATTTGTTTCGGTGCATTCATGTTTTATATTTTAATAATCTGCTCCGTTTTTTGTAATATGTATGCAACTAGTACGGCACGTTGACTTTGATAATAATAATGATTTAAATTACAGTAGTCATCATATTGGTCTTTTTATATAGATATAGATAAAATATTAATTTATGATAAGGTTTATTGCTTGTAAAGTTCTTAACTATACATATTCATATATTTTATAAAACAATTCAGTTTATTTTTGAATTCAGATCAAGCTATTCTGTTTTTTTTTTTTTATTAACTTCCCTAAGGAAAAGTTTGTTTTTATCAAAAAATCCAAATTGCTAATTTTATGTTTTCTCGACGTTTCAAGCTATTCTGAATCGAATGAGACCGAATTTAGAAAAAGTATGTGTGTGTGTGTGCGTGTGTATATGCATGAATAGATTGTTTGCCGTAAATCGACGTTTTCTCAAAAACGGCTGGGCCGATTTCGAAAATTTAAAAGCCATTTGATGTATCTCAATAAGGACTAGCGTTTATCAATTTTACGCGACGATCAGCCAAGCCGTTTCTATGTAAATAGCAGAAAAGTGAAAAAAAATTTAGAATTAAGTTTTACCTTTTTGTTAATGAGGTATCTAATGTAGTTTCCCTTTTGTGAGTTTTTTTAAAAGTAGTTAAGTAGATAAGTGAAAATTACTCTGACTTGCTTCCGAACTTTTTTCAAATTCCAATTCATTTGCAATAGATTGATCCACAATTTCAGACATAGTAGTCAAAGACTTATTCACAAACATCATTATCAGACATCATAGATAATGAATTACAATTTTATTTAATACGAATAGTTTACATTAAATTCTTATCAGGGCTTGACAAACAACCCATGGTTTTTAATATTAAAATATCTATGTATTAATAGAATACACAAGAATAATAAAACTAACGTTTATTATTGGTCAGAATTGCCAATATACCTACTCCTTTTTTCGTTAACACGGTTTTAAGAATAAAATACTTTTTACAAATACTTGCTTATATTATTTATTTTACTAATAAAATAATTTTTACAAATACTAAATATATTGGAGAAATTAATATAATACATAACATTAATGGAATATCACTTTTTATATCTTACATAGGTGTCATGATATTGATTTGAATTTCTTAGAATAATTACATTCTAACAATAATTAATAACTATCTTATAAATAATTAAATTTAAGAACATTGGAAAGAAATTGGCTCTACTTATTTTCTAATAGTTAAATATTAATCATCACAAATCACTCAAAATATCCATAAGCATTCCTCATTTTCTCATAAATTTACATTTGTTTTTTAAGGATATGATATCTTCATTTTTTCATCTTGAAGAAGGATATCGTGATTATTTTTCTTTGGCAATGCCCAAAATTTTTGATCTGAACCAAAAACTTGGGCGTCGGCTAATGTTTCGGGTAGTTTCTGATGTAATGTTTCAGGTGAAAGTAATTGGGCAGTCAGTCCAATTAACATGAGTAAACTTAAGATCAGATATGGGTATCGAGCGTCGTAAGCAGTTCCCTGAAAGATTATAAGTCAAGTTATAATAAATGAATTTTAGTTACTAACATATAAACTATTTGAAAATGGTGAAAAATCTAATTGCGAACGATTGCTTATTTCTAGGTCTTTTATTTTTACGCTGTTAGTGGGCATTTAAATAAGGTCTTCTGTAACTATGATTTATTTTATTAATTTTTGAACGGTAACCAGTTCGATTTTTGAAATTATTGCAGTAAAATCTCTTAACGCTATATTGGACTGGTGACTATTTGGCACTATATTTTCCAATGAAAACTGATATCACTACTGACTGATATCAGGGTATTCATAGTCCATATTTGAACTCATCGTTATAAAGTCAAACGCTTCGAGATTCTTTCCCCCAAATTTTAATGTTTGTGTGATTTGCCAATTATTATTTCGAGCTATTCAAGAATAAATGAATGTTCATTTACAGCCAGCTTTATCTCGATAATATGTAAATTTAGTAGATCATTGTCAGTTGAAGATATTTAATTATCATTGAAGATTAATGAAGATTCAAACTATTTTTTGCTTACTTACTTCAAAATAAAACAAAATTTTACAACTTTAATAATAATATTGTTTTATTACCAAGTATACGACATATGGTCCAACAACTCCGAGAGCATTGCCTGATAGTACTCCCAAGGCAATCCCAGTTTGTCTCAAGCATGTTGGGTAAATTTCAACGCCTTGTACCATCATCACATAAAATGATGTGCTTATGCAGAATTTTATAAGCACTGTTAGAACACTAGTATAAATATGTAGTTCCGGATCTGGAATAGAGAAGGCATCTTTAAAGAAAATACTTGTGTTCATTCAAAATAAAATAAGATATATCGACAAATCGACATATTACTTTACTGTTGAGGTTAGTGCAGTTACAAACTGTTCAGGCGACTTAATAATTTAAACGTAACAGAGAGAAAAAAAACATAATATATGTATAGTACAAAACAAAATCTTTTAGATAAATTGTTTATTTAATATCAATTTCAAATGCTCTTGTTATTCATAAAAAATCGATACAAATTTAGTAGGTACCTGAATAAAATTTTAGAGCTTGTTTATAATAGTTTGTTTAGAAAAATAGTACGAATAATAATAATCATTATTACATACTTATGATATTGTTGTACAACATAAGTGATTGAAATTACCTAATGTCGTATGAAGTAATGGCAACGATACAATAAATGCAACAGAGAAGGCCATGACCGCTGTCCATCTTCTTCCAATATTATTGGTGGCCCATTTTCCAAATATATATGCCGGCATCTCGACTAGACCCTGGTATAAATAATTTAAGAATGGATTTCCGTCCATATTGTTTACATTCAGAATCAACAAAAAATAACTAAGACCGCCCACGATCCTGGAATTAAAAGTATCAGCTATTAAAAATCATGACTAAAGTATTCAAGCAATTAAAAAACGTAGCTATTCAAAATAATTAAATTAATATTTAAATTAGACTATATTGATTTACCAGCATGTAACAATCATAATAGTATTTCTTGCTAATCTCCAACTTGAAAACAAACTCATAACCCCATATATTTTCTCGGGGTTACTGGAATGTATTTTCAGCATTTCCAATGCATCATCGTTTAATGTAGTGCCATTAACTTTAGCGATTCTTCTTAACATTTTTTCACATTGTACCATTTTTCCTCGACTTGCCAACCAGCGCGGGGATTCAATCATATATCTGAAAGATTATATAAAAAATAAATATAAGCCATGACACTTTTTTCATATGATACATGACGTAATGTCCCTTACATAAAAGTCGGTGTTCATATTTTTAATTAATGAAATAATTGATGATTAAATATTACTTTTGCATACTAACTTGTTGCTTATCAGAAACATAGCAAAAGGCAATGACGTTGCTATTACAAAGTAGAACCAATTTCTCAGCCACCACATTACTAATGGCATTAGACATATTCCAACTGTCCATCCAACGTTTTGCAACATTGCTATATGCGAATTATCCTCACTAAAAGTACAAGAAACGTTACAATTTTTTGAGATTTAAAACAAGCAGAAGAAATATAGTATGTTACCTTTTTGATATCTCCATTCCAATAACCATAACGGTCTGGAATAAAGGCATTTGTGTTAGTGCTCCGATAAGTGCACCAAAACTGTACCAAGAATACCATCTCGTTAAGAATAAGTTAATTATTTTCCCCGTTATTATCAGAACTAAACTCATGTAAAATACAGGTCTTCTGCCTAATCTGAAAATTGAAGTTTGAAATATTATTATAACACTAATAAAATAGAAATAATTATATAAAGTTTTTTTATAATTCATAAATATATATTTAAGATTACTCCCAACATGCAATATAATTATTCATAAAATGCTAGACCTATATTTATATTATATCTATATTATTAAATTCCCGTAGGGTAATTAACTTCCCGTAAGATAAGTTATGGTAATGGGCCGAAAATCGAAATTGAAAATTTTTACATTTCTCGACGTTTTGAAGGTTTCTTGAAAAAAGGATGTGTGTGTGTGTATGTATGTATGTATGTATGTATGTATGTATGGATACAATTTTTCGTCCACGTTTTTGGGCGCACGGATCAACCGATTTGAATGCTTCAAAAAACATTCGATTCCTATTGATAGGGAGATGTGCTGATTAGTTTTTGGCAAAGGCAGGTCCAGCCGATTAGGAGATACCAAGCAAAAAGTGCAGAAAATAGAAATCGTGTTTGAGAGATCGGAGTGTCCGATTTGTATGATCCCAAAAACATTCAATTCGTAATGACGGGGAGAAGGGGTGATTAGTTTTTTGGTACAGGCAGGCCCAGCAGTTTTGGAGGTACAGAGCTAAATGTGCAAAAATAGCAGTTTTTGAGAGAACTAAGCGTCCGATTTGAATGATTCCAAAAACTTTCTGCTTGTTTTAACTAAATAATTGATTTTGAAAAAAAAAATTCAGTCTCAACTTTTTTTTTCAAAAAAAAAAATTTTTTGATATCGAAAATAATTCAGATTTTATTTTTAATTTTGACTATACTTCTAATGTACTTTAAACAAATAATTCCAACTTTGCAATTCAATTTATATAATTCTTATAAATATTAGACAATGTTACAATATTAATAATAATCTATTTGAAAACATTCGTTACTGTACGGGAAGTTCCAGCAATTTGCCTTAAGGCACGATGCCATACACCCCACTAGTTTAGTTATACTTGTACATAATTTTTATTATGTCATAAAATCATGTTACATTATCTGGAAATGATAAATCTAATAAATTATCAAGTTTTAGGTTTTAAGTATTATATCAGTATTGTCCATTGTTTACTAAATCAACTGAATTGTCGAATTTGAGTTATACTTTCTCTCAATGTAACAGAATTATTTTATTTGTTCAAATATATTCTTTATACATATTGTGTAAAAGATATATGCTTAACAAAAATAATAATCATGCATGAAACGCATGAAGTCTTGAGACGATCTTTGGAATCAGATATAACGCATTGGTAAAAAGAATCCTATCGCTGACGATATTTGACGATAAGAACCTAGTCTTAAATCAAGGCAAACCGATCCCGACTCTAGAACCAGTTCCATTCCTAGCAGAATATCTGATAGAAGTAATTTTATAAAAGTTCTACCCACGTGTCTCCTAGTTGGCCGAAGACAAAAGCTCCGATCATTTCCCCGATTCTAGCAATGACGAACGTGTTCGTCACACGCAGTTCCTTGTCGCAGACCCAGTCTTCTTGCGACGTCACAGTCAGGTCGAACCACGTCTTATCATATTCATAGCCGTGTTGACATTCTGAGGAAAAAAATAAAAGTTGAATAATAGTAATTATATTTGCATATGATAACACCTGGTTAATGGGCCGGTCGTTAATTTGCAATGATACAGCATTATGAAGTACATTGCTGTTTAGAGTGCATATCATTAAATTTAATCGCTGTTTAACTACTGATATATCATACAAGATTAATAGATTGTGTAAGGTTTGTTTAATCGTCGAATGATGGAGTGGTGGGATATGTTAAATGCTTGCAATTTTGTGGCAAATAATTGGTAGCGACAACTTTTGAAAAAGTTGGTTGGATAAAATTCATTATTGAGAGGGTGGTTGAATAAAGAACATTTGGCCTAGGCAATATACGTCACTAGTTATTATTTAAAATGCTTCATAACGCATTCGATATATTGAATTTAACTAGTGGGGTGGGTGGCATCGTGCCTTAAGGCAAATTGCTGGAACTTCCCGTACCGTAACGAAATGTTCGAGGAATATTGAATGCTTTCAAATAGATTATTATAAATATTGTAACATTGTCTAATATTTATAAGAATTATATCAACTGAATTGCAGAGTTGAAATTATTTGTTTAAAGTATATTAAAGCTAGAGTCAGAATTAAAAATAAAATCTGAATTATTTTCGATATACAAAAAATTAAAAATTAAAAAAAAAAAAAAAAAAAAATGAAACAAAAATTTTTTTTCCAAAATCAATTATTTTGTTAAAACAAGCAGAAAGTTCTTTGAATCAATTGAATCGGACGCTTAGTTCTCTCAAAAACTGCCATTTTTTGTACATTTAGCTCTGTATCTCCGAAATGGCTGGGCCTGCCTTTGCGAAAAACTAATAACCCCTTCTCCCAATCATTACTAATTGAATGTTTTTTAGATGATTCAAATCGGATGCTCCGTTCACTCAAAAACTCGATTTCTATTTTCTGCACTCTTTGCTCCGTATCTCCGAAAATGCTGGACCTGCCTCCGCCAAAAACTAATCAGCTCTTTTCCCTATCAATAGGAATCGAATGTTTTTTAAACCATTCAAATCGGTTGATCCGTACGCCCGAAAACGTGGGCGAAAATTTGTATCCATACATACATACACACACACACACACACACACACACACACACACACACATCCATTTTTTCTGAGGTATGCCAAAACGTTCAGAAACCTTCAAAACGTCGAGAAATGTAAAAATTTTCAATTCCGATTTTCGGCCCATTACAATAACTTACCCTACGGGAAGTTAAAAAAACATTTTGGATGTTTTTTGGTCCAAAATCTCTTTGAAGGCAATGGTTGGCCATCAAAATCGGTTGATTCGTTCCTCCGATTATGCAAGAAGAATAATTTATTCACACAATAAAAACATTGAAAGTATTTCAAAAATACTTTATTCTCTCTAGTCATCACAATTTACGGTGGGCTCGCCCGTAAGTAAGCGGTTAAGAGGGACGGGACTTGTTTCAGAGGTCTCGGGTTCGATACCCACTCCGAGCAGTCTGTTGTCAGGCAACAGTGACAACGATTTTCTCTTGGAAATATAGATAGCAATATGTTGCCAAGTGAAAATAGCCCTCACCCGGCATTGCTGCACCATACTCGTACTATTACAGAAATTGTAATAATAATTTATCATACAGAGATGTGGCAACTGTTTGGGTTGCCATATGTCAAACAGACTAGTATTAAGCTAAAATCAGCACAACTGCTTATATGACTTTACGGTAACAACAATTTACGGTAATAATTCAATTAGCTTACTAATAGCTGCTCCTAGAGGTCTAAAAGATACTGCCTGCTCTAATGGGCGGAGATCAAAATACAGCAGATTTAAAAAAAAAACAATAAAATATTGCAAATTTTCTGTGTCTGATGCTTCTTAGAAAGCAAATAAGTTGTCTTATCTTGTAGATTCTAGAAAATTATATTGAAATATTGTTCTGCAAATTGTCGACAAAAGTTTTTGAAGCAATTTATACATACTTTATCTACACAAAAAAAAATTACTCGTTTCATACAAAATGGAAATAGGTTAATAATTTATACTAAGCGCCGTGTTCGAAAGAAATAAATATATTGGTTGGTACAGGTTTTATGTCTATGCGTCCACATGATGATATTCATATTTTTGTGTGGGAGTAACATATTGTTATGTAGAATTCAGGTATTAACGTATTTGTGTAGATTTTTGTACCGCTTTCTCTATTTATATATATTCTATATTATTGGATCCCATATGCATCACAAGCACCCAATACCGTAAAAACAATTTTTATATTTGCCATTTACGCAAACGCCTGACATTTTCATAAATCTTTCTTCTGAGGTTTATACAATATACAACTTTTTATATTAATTTATTACTATCATGTGATATATCTATTATCTGAATTTATTGTCAGAGGTGCAGGTAATTACCCGTTATTGGAGAATTCTGAACTTCAGAACTGTCTGTCCAGTCCGACGCGTTGTACATCTCGCACGAACTCAGCGTTTCAAGGCCTCTTGTGTCTACAGACCTAAGGAATAAAATTAATTATTTATGATAAGTAAATGATTATTAAATACATAATTTAAATACATTTGCAGTTATCATCTATACTACATCACAGCCTATAATACATGCTATTTACAGAATTTACACATGTTGAATTCAAAATTATCAATTGAAATTTTAATTGTAACTGAATTAAAAATGAACATGCAAATTAATAGTGAAAATATAACCAGATCAATTAATATGTTAAGTTTCAGTACTATACAATTTAGTTTTGTTGATTGACATTGATAATTTTAGTTATGATAAAGCAATTATTGATATGCATATTAAGTTTTATACTGCTGCTGTGAAATACTTGAGATATTTGATTAAGATTTTGATTAATTTGAATCGGTGTTCTATAGATGAATTTGCAGAGGCCAAAATATAAAAATTAAAAAATCCTTTCAGTAAATTATAATTAGCCATGATGCAGCTAGCATTTTATTCTCGAACAAGTTACATGAATCTCCCTAATTTTTTTATGGATCCTTAATATTTTAGGATGTTTTTTAATAACTCCTTAGTATTTTGATAAACCCCTGAACTATGTCTTCATAAAAAATTAAAATTTTACTAACACGCTTTATATTTGAGATTTGTCTTATTTGAAGATACTGCAATGAATATGTCACAAATTTGTATTGGCTTTACTTTAATTACCAATTAGAGCTTTACGATCTAATTTCTTCTACTTACACAGGTAATGTGAGTCTTTTCCATTCTTCCAATGTATAGTTGGTGTTTTCCCGTCCTGGTACATGGCACCAGTGATCAGGAACTGACATTGCTAAAATGATATTCATACAAGGCATTGCTGCCACCACAGCGAAAAATACATTGTAGAGATAATTAAAGCGATGTTGGAACTTTCCATCGCTACCGATGGAATCTAGAACTCTATCGAAAATTGCATCCTTCTTCTCCATTGCTGTGTTGCAATTGATGTTTGAACCCTATAATGAAAATATTAATTTGTGGTTAAAATATTAATTTTTAATTCAATCAACAAATGTAACAGCAATTGCGATTATAAATATTTGATGAGTGATTAATTTCTAGGTTTAGCAGTATTTATTTAGATACACATTATAGTTCTAAATGGGATTCTACTATTATGCAAAACAGAGTGTTCGATTTCCATGTCTAGACTATGTGATATGATATTTTGCTTAAAAATTAATATCATAAATATATTGCAGGAGTTTTTTCAGGGCACTGAGGTGTAAAATGACAATGAGAAATTTCTTACGCCTCATATACTTTCACAGTTAGTTAACTCATCTCTGAAATCTGACCTTCGCAAGGCTAAAATATAATTACTATTATATTGTTTTTCATCTAAATGTCTCAAGTATGCAGAAGAATGTTTGTTGATTGAATCGTGTTCCATTTTGTTGAGTATTTTTAGATTTTTATTTAGATTTAATAACAAAATTAAACTCTAGAAATGAAATTGTTAAAGAATCATTAATATAAAATAAATGATATAATTATAACCAATTCATTTTAATAAATTTATTGTTTGTGTTATAAAAAGATACTGAATATTAATTCTCAAAATTCAAGAATTAATATAGTTTTTTGCACATTTTAAATTGAAAATTTCGATTAGCAAAATATACTTATATTTATTTTTTGGGCTAAAATATTCGAGAAAATGGTAATCACAAACTCGACTGGTATTATTGATATATTTTATGTATGGAACACTAACATTCTAATCAGAAATATTATGCAATAATTAAATTTAGTTAAAATAATGTGACTGCTAAATATTAAAAAATCACAGTAATAGTTGTTAAAAAAACGTATTTTTGATCTTTTTCTAAGCTGACAACTGCAAATAAAAAACCTTGAATGTTTTAAATGCTCGATGCGTACGATGGTACTGTTATAAAAAATCCATGACCGCTGCCAAGAAATACTATAAATAAACATTATATTAATCAATCATGACAATTACCTTCCGATGAATTATTGTTTATTCTTTTGTGTAATGTATGAGTATTGAACATCTCGCAATGTCAGATTAATAATATTAAAATTGGGTAATTAAGATGTTACCATACGAAACTTGTGGATGATAAAATGCCATATAAAGCAATATTTTCTAATTTTATGCAAGTTTAGATTTTCTCTTTTAATGGTTCATGAATTGTCCTAAGAATATTTATAAGAATGTGTAAGTTATATATGGAGATATAGTATAGAATATAAAAATGAAATGTTGTTGGCTAAATACCCTAAGTAAGCTAGGCAAAAGAAATAAAAATAAATGAATTAGGAATATAAATAAAGTTCAAGCTTAAACTTTTCAACAATATACATTTTTTAACTTAATGATTTTATACCGGATTTTATACCGCATTTTTAAGTTCCGTATTCGATTTGATATTCACCTCATATTCACTCAGAATGATGATTTAAGGGGGTATTCTAGTGTAGAGCAATGAATTTTAGGTCATTTTTACTATAAATACTACTGAATGTTTTTACTATAATTTTTTTACCACTTATTTATTAATATTATTAAAATATAAAAAAAAAATTTAAAAAAAGTTGAAAATTGAAAAACTGGCAGCTGATGAAGTGGGGGGTCTCAAAAAATTGGCACCTCAGTCTTGCCATGATTCTAGCCCTGCTAGCCATTCGAAATAAAAGAAATAAAAAGATTATGAATCTACAATGATGTCGCAATCGCCGGAACTAACAAATTGGCGACTGTTTGAAAAAAGAGTGTCTTTTTTTATTGTTTTTTTTTTTGAGTTTCTCGAATTTTTTAAAAATAGTACAAATTGGAATTTGGGATGATGTTAGTTCGGGCTACTAGGGCTAGGTATATTATAAACAAGACTCTCTGAACATTTCAAGTAAATCGGTCGAGTAGAACTGAGAAATCGTGACAACAGTACGTGAAAAGTCTGTTCTGTGAAAAACGCATTTAATATAAAAAGTATGTTCGATCTTTTTACTCCTCTCGAGTAATATTTGTGCTCGTATAAATTCTGTATCATGTATACAATGTCATTGATATATCGCAAAAAATTCAAATTTTAATATCTTAATTTAATATTAATCAATTAAGAAGTTTGAACCATTTCACTTTTCATTTATTATCTTCCTTAAAGTGTTCGAAGATAAGTAATCATGATGCGAGGTACTTTATTAAATGACGATTATAGTCATCTTTCTTCCTCATGGGGCGGCCGGTAGACGTTCATTAATTTCTAAGAATATTTCATTAGCGAAGGTCGTTAATTAATTTAATATTTGCGTATTGTTTATTTCCTGCGTTATTAGCATCTGTTGTTCATAGTCTGTTTGCATTTAATTATTATTTTATGAATGGTATTTGCCAATAGATTTGCACGCGATGCAAATGCGAGTGGCTGGAATCGACGATCTGTGAAACCAAATGAATCAAAGCTTATTATAGAGCTAATAAATTTCATTGAGACATTGAGATATACTTTTTTACGATGCTGAAGAAAATTATGCCTAGGTGTGCCCTCATATAAAACCGCACGTGTCTACTAGTATGGACAAAATCTAACCAGGTTTAATTGACCGTAGAGCGTGAATTAAATTAATTTTGCCACAGATTTATTCATTAAAAATTATCATATCATTCCGGTATTAAAACATACAATTACATAAAACGCTATAATTTAATTTGTTAAATTGCACGTTTATTTAAAATTGAATTAATTATCTATGTTACAAAAAAAAAAAAATTTACATGAAATCTCAGATTTATATCGAGTTTTTAAATTACTCTACTTGTTTTATTTATGCTGATTTAGTAACTATTTACTGTAATACTGAAACACTTTTTTTTTCATGTTGACATGTTATAAATGTTTTATAAAATATTGAATAAAAAATTATTTTATTTTTCAAATAAAATTAACTTTCCGAAAAATATTAGATGGATATTATAAAACAAAGAATTACCAAAAATTAATATAATTGTTCTTATTGCCCACAACACCAGCAAGCTTCTTGGCAAATATTTACGTTTGTAAATATTTGAAAAAATCCAAATAATGCAGTAAACTATAGATCAAAGTTCTTATTTATTTGAGGCGTCGACTTTTCATGTTTTCTGTTAGATAAAGATATATAAGCAACAAAGTATTAATCATATAAAACTAAAAAAAAAACAAGTAGCGTTGATTGGTTGGAATCTTTTGGTATAATTCTTGAAGTATTGTTTATCTGAATGTCTCTCTATAAAAATAAAATAAAATTAACAAGGCAAACAAACGGTCTATATTCAAAATCATGTGGGCAAAAATATCACTTTAGTATCAAAGTCTTCCTACAAAAATCTGGTTTGCAAAACAATTTATGTTGGTTAATATTAGATCGCCCGCAAGTATTTTTTTGTTTCGAAAGATATAATTGTGTTCTACTTCACAATTAATTTGATACTTGCGTAGTAGTTTTTAACTAATGAAATTTTTAATAAAAAATGTAATAATTTTTTTCAAAAATCGTCATCCGCACGATACATTTTACCAAAGAAATTTATATAAAATGGGTAAGAAATAATCTACTTTATTTCCTCTTGCTTATTTTAAATTAAAATGTAGCTAATAAACTAGAAAGATTCTTCTATATCAAGTGTTCAATAATTAATTAACAGTGAAATTAAGACGATAATTTTAAATATAACAATCATTTTCTATAACATTGTTTTCAGAACCGAATATTCCAGCTATAAAAATTGCATAGAGTTGAATTTTTTTTAGTTAATTAAGGTAATTTTAAACGATGGAATGTTTTATTGTTTTAGTAATTGCTTCAGCGAACATAATGTCATTTCTGACTCAAGTTTAATCACAATTGCAACCTCAGATTAATCGATGTTTTTGTGCACATATAATTAGATCTCCGTTTTGAAAAGCAATTTTTTTATCGATCTGATGTAATTTACATACAATGAAATATTTCTGTGTTTCATAACATAAAATATATAATCAAAATAAGTCAAAATCATTCAATTTAATTTTAAATTCTATTTCAAAGAAGTAATTAGTAACATTTTTTAATAATTTACATATACATTCAACAAACAATTTTATAGTTTCCATTGGTTAAAAATTTTCATTAAAATTGAAAAATTATTTTAAAGAAATTAATATTAAGTATTTCTCTAGTTAATATAGGTATTCTAGCAAAGTTTAATTAATCAGAGTTTACAATTAATAATAATACGTATATACTTATATGAAAAGGCAGATTGATTTGAAGTAAAACAGACAAAGAATTATCTTATTTTTTTAACTATTTTGTAAATGATCTAGCTATCTTTCCAATTTGACTATTATATAAAATAACAAATAATTTGACTCTCCAAATTTCAAGCTATTGTTATTAATATGGATTTTTTTTATATTTGCACCTGTTCCGCCCTGAACATCAGCAAATTTTTGGTCGTCGTTTAAAATTTCTAGATCGATTGCCAAACCATTGGCAACATTAATTGGGTGTCCAGGTAAATATTGATAATTAACACTTATAAATAATTAATCTTGACATATGGTGATACGTACCTTATTAAGTTAATGTATTTCTCCAGAGAGTTTTTAATATCACATGTTTTATGTCACAAAATTCATGTTCATAACAAAACAAACACAAACTGTTAAAAGATACGATTGCAAACGGTAAGCATGAACAATCGCGAAAAATTTGAATCCGTGATTTTATTCAAAACAAAAAATAAATTTCTTTCACTGTTATGATTTCTTACAGGTATTTCTTAAAAATTTGTCTTGCTTTTTAAATTAAATCAAGATATATAAGTAATGATAATAGTTCAAAACGGACGATAAAAATTAATAATAATTATTCAAGTGTTTCCAATAAATAATTAAATGTCGTGCGTCCGATATTTGATGACCTACGTTGATAATCGTATTTGC